TGAAAATAATGTGCCAAAATAGACAAAGAACTCTTTTTACTAAGCAACCTCTTCAAGCTCATTGTTTGCTCTTATATTTATAGGTTTTGCTACCTTCTTGTAACACTCTACATTAGTCATCTGTCATTTACTTGGTATTTGCCCACTACTGAATTGTATATACTGTATATTTTGTGTTTGCTAATCAGCATAGTTTCTCAATATCTGTAAATTTGCCAAAATCTAGATTTTGACAAACTAGAAGAGCAGCAGTCCTAATTTAGATCCCTATGATACTCCAGAGATCCTTCTGCCTACTACCTGCAACAAATTTAGTTAGTTATTGAATGAGGAGGGGGAGAGTGGTTGTATGATTTTTTTTTTAATCAGAAATAAGGGAATTTCATTAACAAAAGCTCCGTGTCAGTACAATCAACAAAAAGGAATTTCCAAAATCCTAGAAAGAAGCCATTTGCATAAAACCAGATTAATATATGCTAGTAGAGCTATAGATGATATGCAGACCCAATGACTGGAAAACCAGGAAGAAAGGCATTTCGAAATATTGTTAGAAGTGTTTTTATGATTCATTTCAAAGACTGATATGCTTTTTTTCAAATTACCACTAATCTTTTTTAATCCTGTGACATTAATGCAGTAATTCATAATTCATAAATAGCAATCCTGGAAAAACAGTTTTTGTGATAGTACTTCTCCTTTGTGTCATTGTTTAAAAAGAGCAGGGGTTTAACACTTCACTTCAATTGGAAGGCAAAGTGGGCTGAATTTTACTGTCTGTGCTTTACAGAATCTCAAAGTAAATGACATACACGTGAGAAGAATCAATTGTTCCAGACTGATTTCATATGGTTTTACTTATACAGTATACTGTATGTCTAAGAATTTTCTGCAGTCCCCACAATGAGAATAACAACAAGAAATGCATAAAACATAGAAAAACAACCAAAACTCTTGTTTACAAACGAGCTTATAGATTATATTTGCTGCAACAGCGGGGTACACATGTTTGGCTTTCATATTTCACAACATCATATTTTACCATCTGATTTAACTTTTGTTTCATTTTGGCTGGAATTCCAGAGGGCACATTACAAGGAAGAAATGTGATGATTCCTTTTCAAATTAATAAAACATGAATTTAATTAAAAATGAAAGTATTCTTTTCTCATAGTTGTACTGATGTGGTTAAAAACTTCAATTAGTCATGCTTCACTGTTTTGCAATTTCTATGAAATGTTTTTTTCTTTTTTCAATCTCTTTATTATTCATTCTGAATATTGATGCCTACAGAGAAACCCTGCACTTACAACACCATTGTTTCTCTCATGCAATTTAGACCTAGAACAGAGGCACCATCCCCTTTTGCAGTTCACCCAACACTGATTCTGACATACTAGTCCAAACATCCATGTTCCTCACTTGTTAAATGGGATGCTGCAAAAAGAGAATTAACAAGAAGAAAAGAACAAAGAGCCAAACGAAGCAATGCATTTGAAATTACACTGCGTAGGAACGAGGTAACATGGTTTACACACACCCTGATCAGAAGGAAAAATTGCCCGACACGTCAAGCAAGATTTTAAAAAGGGACAATAGGCTTGTTGCTGTTGAATATGATTATTGTGCACAAACACATATATCCTCCAAAAATGTTACATTCAGGCAATTACTTATCCCACAGCTTACCTGAGGGGAAATAGCCACAGCTCTGAATCAGTGAAACTTTAGTGGAGAGATTAAATTCAATTGCAGTTGAATGCTGCGAGAAGTAGCTGGAGCTGAAAGTGTGTGCATCTAGCACATACAGTAACTGTTCAACCCAAGTCCACAGGTTTGGAAATGGATTGATCTCATTCTACAATGTGTGTAGCTTATTAATGGTCACATAAGGGAATGACGAGCATTTATATTTGTTTCAGTTTACAAAAGGATAGAGAATAGTAGAAAAAAATAACATGGATGCAATTTCTCACATTTTCAAAATTGAAATGGGTGAAAATAAAAACAGCCAATAAAACCAAAACAGCTAGACACAAACAAAAACACATTTTCACAACGTTTACAGGAGCGTGTCACACAGTTAGCTGTAAAAAGTATGTTATTCACAATATTTAGTACATATTTCTGCCAGAGAAATATGTACAATTGTTCTAAAGACAGAGAAAACCAACCTGCTGACACCTGATACAATGAAAACATTAGTTGCTATGACACAGACACATTCACTAATTTCTGATGTTTTTTCATATTCAATAGATGAAATCAAATTTTCTGATGAGATGATGATGATGAAACCAAGGTCAAAAAACCTAAGGAGCTTGAACTATATATCTGTATAACTTTTTCCAATAAAAACTAAAAATATTTTTTAACATTTGAAACTTCATATTACAAAACTAGAATAAACACT